ATACAACCACTTCTTGTTTCTATGTTATATTATCCAAATTCAGCAGCACAGGCCATTCTAACAAAGACAGTACCAAATCTTCAGCAAATTGTGATATGGGTTAAACAAAAATAAGGCATTGCACAGAAAGAAGTTATTTTATGAAAATTCTGCCTCTGAAGGAGCCAATGGAAACAAAGAAACTCTTTTAAACTCCAACCCCACCCCCAAAATCTCAGTAGCAAGGCTCACTTCTCCTCTCCCCACAAATCTTGTTCTCTTCTTCAATTTGGATTGGCACAATTTTATTTCTTTCTGAAGTTTTAGTAACCTCAAAAAGAGAAACTCAAAGATAAAATGTAAAAAAGGTATCATATTTGGCAACAAAAACAGAACAGACACACCCATCCTAACATCACCCATGACTTCTAAAACCAATCTGAGGTAGTATTCATGTAAATTACACAATATTATCATATACAACAGAGTTCTCTTTTCTTAGAAACAAATCAGAATCTAAAAGCTTCACCTTTTCTCCTCCACTGCATTCCTTCAGTCCCCAACACCCCCATAGAAATCTAACTACTTTGGTAAAAAGAACCCATTTGAGTCATAAGAACCCCAACACAGCAGAACCAAGATTAACAATAAATCAAAATAATGCAAAGTCAAAATTAAACGAGCTAAAATTACGCTCAAAAGAATCTCATAAAAACAGAGTTCCCACGATCAAATTACAGAAGCAGAAAAAATAATAAAAGAAAATTTGAGGAAAAGAGAGAGATGCATACACAATATACACTTTGGTAGCCATTGATGAAGCTCTAATTCTCCGAAATTAGCTATGGATTCTACTTTATTTTTGGTGAGGGAGAATGGATGGTGGGAATCGCTGTATTTATAGTTGCTCTGCTCCAACCTTTCTGCTGGGGTCAGCCGTTAAATTTTCTAAGTAGTCCCGCTGGATTAAACCGTCATCGTCTCCTCTTAAATGCTATTGGCCCATATTTTTAATGATTTTATTTTCAACGGCAAGGTTGGATATATTGTTGTGTAAGGCAGATGTAATATTTAAATTTTAATATAAATACTTTAAAAAAATTATTTTTTTTAAAATGTGTTAAGTTAATATAACGCGTGAATTTACCTTTAAAATTATTTAAAGAGAGTTAATTTCAAAATATATAAAAGTTAATTTAAAAATATCATGATGGTAAATAAACAAATATTTTTATTTTTTAAAAAATATTATAATTATAATATTATTTTTTAATATTTAATATATTTTATAAATAATTCTTTAAAGTAAATTATTTTGTTTTATATATTGATTGAAAAATAACTTTTGGTGTCAGATCATTTATCAACTAATAAATATAAGAAATGCTAATTTCAACCTGAAAAATCCGGTCACCATCATAGAACATGAAGTTTTATTTTCGACTGTCAACTTCAGAGAAATTGAGTATATATATGGATTATTTGCTGTTATAATCAGCAGATTTGTTGTATTCTTTTCTTAATATTTCTGGCAAATCTTTCTGTTTAATCTTAAGGATGCCTATGGTTTATGGTTATCCTTATTTATCAGGGTCCCTATCTAAAAGTTCCAATTCAGGCATGCTCTAGTTAATAAAAGTTACCATGTTCATATTAAACATGGCACAAGGATGATAAATTTGAATGATCTGTTTTTAGGATTTCTTTGACTTGAAGGGTAGCCCTGGGCATTTGAAACCGGAACAGACGGATTGCTCGAAAACCGAACTGAAAAAATGAATTTGGTTCGGTTTAAATGGTTTTTGATTTTTATTATTTTAGTTTTTATATTAACCAAATAATTTTGGTTTAGTTTTGGTTCAATTTTTTAAAAATTGAAAACCAAAAATAAAATCAAAATTAGGATAAAATAGATAAAATATAATAAAATATGATAAAATATAATAAAATAT